ATCTATCCCTCCTAAGTTTGAAATAATTAAAATGTTATTGTAAAATTTGTAATTAAATTTAAGAAAAATGTTAACTTAAACAAAAAAGTTTTTTGCAGCTGCCAATTTTGGTTGATTCACTTGAACTTAGGTGACCAACCGTAAGACATCCAGGTGTTAGGGTTATAAATAGTGCAATGGTATATAATATGTTTGTAATAGTTATTGATAGGGTTTAAATCAGGGGTGAACAATCCTGGTCCTCGAGGTTGTTTCTCTGCTCCAACACACCTGATTTGAATGAATGGGTAATTATCACGAGTCTGCAAAACTTGGAAGAGGTAATTTAAGGTGCGTTAGAGCAGGGAGAAAATGTAAAACATGCAGGGCTGCGGCCCTTGAGGTCCAGGATTGTCCACCCCTGGTTTATACATGCCTTTTTTCAGAGTTAACAGTATTTTTTTGAAAACATATATCACTCCTACTTTCGTGAACTCCCATGGTGGAGTACTTTATACCTGAATTTTCAAGTTATTTTAAGTTGTGTTCAATAAAGTAAATGTATAAAAAAAAAACCTCAAACCTACCTTTTCGCTCGTAGTGAGACTTTTAGGGCCACGCTTTGAGTCTCATTTGGTATTTTTTTTTTTTTTTTTAGCACAGTATGCTATATTTTTTTGTACTATTGTTATAGTTTGACTAAAACAAAAGTGAGTTTTGTGCAGCTTACCTGAAGAACTTCACCGCTTCTTGCAGCGTTGCATGTTGATGGATAAGATACAGGATTACTGCGCATGCGCGCGTGAAACCATGACAAATACGTCTAAAACTTACGTAGCAACTTACGTATTTTGTACAACGTTGAGCTTATTTTGGTTTGTAGTCAAATGTACGCTTGTGTGTAAATATTTAACTTTTCCTTGATTATAGCAAATGCTGAATGTAAGAAAGCTGAGCTAAATAACATTTGTTTCGCGTTGTTTCACACCAGACAAGATACGTAAGTAGAGAGGAAGTGCTTCACGTGAAACTATGCTAGTTTGCTTACTGAGCTCTCCGAGTAAGTAGCATTGGGCAGAATTAAAGTGTGTTTATAATTGTTTAATAAACGCTCATTGACTTGCCTTTTTCTGTAAAATGTAAGATAAAATTTTGGTCTCTGTGCCGCTTTATGCTATGCTACATTTTACGTACTGTGGATATTTCTTCATCGTGCACTTTCTCAGTAAACGTGTTGTGTGTCATCTGTATTTTCAGCTGATCAGCACTATCTGTCATCAAATCAGGCATAAAGCAGGCTGATTAACTGCTCTGACTGCCATGGAGTTTCTCCCAGTGCTTGACCCAATAGACAAACCCAAAGAAGGAGTGTGGTGAGCACAATAAGACTTTATAACTGACTTTTAATTGTAAATTGTAATAATAAATGAATAATGTTGTGTTTTTGTTTTGATTTTGTTGTTAACAGGTATTCTCTAATACCCAGAGGAAGTATTCCAGGTGTTAGTGTGGGTCATACCTGCACGTTTATTACCTCTGAAGACGGTAGAAAAGGAAGAATCCTGATTGTTGGAGGAGCCAATCCCAGTGGCAGTTTCTCAGATTCCTGTATTATAAATTTAGGTAAAAAATTACAAGTAATGTGAAAATGAAGCATTGAATTTTAAGAGTGTAATGACAAAAGAAGAGCACCCAAGTCCCAGGACATCAGTAAAACATGTTATATGTATATTTTTGCTTCAGACTGATAACATTTGACAACACGTTTTTCGCTTTTTACCAGATAACCATGAGTGGGACACTGCACACTGGAAAGGTTTGGAAGCCCGGTACGAACACTGCAGCTTTGTGCCAGAGAGCTGCCCACAGAGCCTCTGGGTGTTTGGCGGTGCACAGAAGACAGGCAATCGCAACTGTATCCAGAAAATACAGCTTTCCGGTAAATCCTACCTGAAATTTCTCCATATCATCTGCAGCTGTGTGCTCCTCACAAAGCTGCATTCTACAAATGTGTGCTGTTAAGTACACATGCAGAGTGTTTGTACAGTAAGTGTATATTTAAGTAAAGACTATGCTGTACATTCTGTGCTCAGATAATGAACCATGCTGGAAGAGTGTAATGACAAAAGGAGAACCTCCAAGTCCCAGGACGTACCATACCAACTCAGCCTGCATCGGGGACAAATTGTTTGTGTTTTCTGGTGGAGAAGCGGGTGCTGATCCTGTCCCAGACGCCAAACTCCACGTCTTTGACACAGGTTAGCGTGGAACGAACATGCTGATTGACTAAATGATAAAAACAACTGTGCAAAACATTAGTTCATTTGGATTATAATTGACTACAAGCATGCACCTTATTTAAATCATGTCCTCAGACGTATTTTCCTAGTTTTACTTATTTAAACCTCCGTTTATGACTTAATGGATACCTTTTATTGGTCCTAATAAGCCTTTGATTGTTCTTTTGTTTTGTTTTGTTTTGTTTTTACTTATTTCAGAATGGACAGTGCACATTACAGAATATGCCAGAGTTAACCACAAAGGCTAGTTTTCATGTGTGGTCCCTCGGGATACCATAGATATAAATACAATACATGTAAATAGCTAAAAACCTAAGTTTAAAAAGGAATATAAAACCATTTAGCACAGCAATCAAGGCTGGATTAACTATATGGGCAATAGCGGCCCACAGCCTCTAAAGGGCCCCGGGCAGTGAGGGCACGTGCATAATGGACGCATGGTATGCATAGGATGTATCTCCCTGCGTTTCCTGCATCTGTGCTCTCTGTCCCCCCACACTTTATTCAGCCATCACAACTGTTTAATCCGCTGTTAACATGTGGTAAAGTGTTTTTCCGAGCCGTCATTAAACGCTCCATGAGCATAACGCCTGCAGAGGATGGAGGTGAGATGTCCTCCTGCTGAGCCGAGCCTCACGGTGTTTGTCAGAACCCAACAGAGCAAACAGCTAAAAACTTGGCACAGTTTTTACCAAACAAACCATGTAAATTGAGTCTTGCTGTTGGAAGCAGATAATGTTAGTACGATCAACATACACTTAAGAGGGTTGCATGACATCAAGCATTGCTTTCATGAAAATAGAGAACACTTACTTAGTGGGTCAATTTTACCAGATTATACTGATGTGTTTTGTTTTCATAGCATCATATGTGAGTGAGTGTCCTTGACAAGAAGACATAGTAGTGCATTTGTAGTTCTAAGAGCATTTGGACATCAAAATACACTTAGAATTTGAAGTATTGAATATATTTACTATATATTGTGTTAACTTATTCTTTATTTCGCCAGACTATGGCGATCCTGGGGTCATAAGGATAGGGCCCTTGAATATTGTTGCCCAGGGTACAGCAAAGTGTTAATCTGGCCCTGACTGCAATAACAATTCATTATAATACAAACAATGCATTAATAATCTAGAATAAATATAAAAATCCCATATTCACTGTCTACATAGTTGTTTATCCAGGAGCCATGATTTAAATTTTGTTATACACACAAAAACAGACAAACTTACTTCTCTATTTTCATTAATAACTAATGTTTAATTGCCTAATTATTAGCAGAACTGCTCCAAACTTCAAAGTGTAACTTAGAAAATGGAGAACACCTGAAGCAATGTCCTTGGATTAGAGCTCTGAGAGTGTACTCCATTATAGTTTTACTCCTGCACATTATGTAGATGTATTCTCACATAAATGACTATGATAGTCATTTTTTACATGTATAGTGGATTTGAGCTGCCTTATTAAAAAAATTAATTTTAAATTTTAATAATACTTTATTCCTCAAAATTGTTTAACGCTTGAGTAATGTTTTGTATGTGTTGTAATTGTGTTTCAGTGTCTTCCACTTGGTCCCAGCCAGAAACACAAGGCAGGCAGCCGGCAGCCAGACACGGCCACGTTGTTGCTGCAGTTGGCTCGAGGATTTACATTCATGGAGGCATGGCCGGAAACAAGTTCCACAATGATCTGTACTCTCTTGACTCAAGTAAATCCTTCTAAACTGTCAAGATGAGGTCCTGGTATTCTTTAGAAATGTGTCTAAAAATATACATAAATCTGTGTTTGAAGGGAACATGAAGTGGGAGAAAATACAGACCAAAGGAGATATACCACCAGGAGTAGCAGCCCATTCAGCTGTGGTTTTGGGCTCAAACCTGTACATTTTTGGAGGAATGACTGCAGATGGTGCCATCAACTCCATGTATAAATTTAACACAGGTGCAGTACACACTTAACTTTTATACAACCACTTCCATCCATCCTGTAGAATTTTCTTGAAGTTTAAATGTTTTATTCTGCGTGCAGATAAAAACAGATGGACCCTACAGAAATTTGAAGGCGATATGCCTCCAAACCGTCTGGACCACTCCATGTGTTTAGTGCCATGGCAGATGAGTGAGGTCACTGGAGATGGAAAGCAGGCAAGCAGCTCATCCTCCACAGGAACCATAAATCTTGCTTTTGTGTTTGGAGGGATGGACACACAGGGTGTCATACATAATGACTGTATTGTAACTGTTGTGAAATGAAGAGTTAATAAAATGTGAAACAAGTTTCTTTCCATTTATTTGTAAACTGTACTGAAAGGTTTGATTCTGAAGCAGTGACAAATTCATTCAATTTTACCAAAAATGTGTCAAAACAAAATTAATGCAATAGGAGACCAAGTAACAGTTTGTATCAAACATTTATTTCAGTGTCTTAACAGAAGTACAAGGATTTGACACAATAAATAATTTCAACTTGCCTGTGAACAAAGCCTTTAGTACCACAGACACCCTACAGAACGTATCCTCAACCTGACCCCCCCACCCTCACAACCCCATCAGGACTGCCTGAGAACAGCAGCAACAAGCCTCATCTGGGCTGACGAATCTCCGCCTCGAAGCGAAGAGAACACTTGCCACACTGAAGTTTATTTTTTAAGTCTTTCAAGAAATTCAGCATGGTTGCATGTTATCACCCCTGCCCAACCTTTCCTCTCACTATTGAGTCCCATCAGTTCATTATGTACATGAGGTCCCACTTTAAAGGGCAAGGGGCAACTGCAGACTTCAAACACGCCTACAACTCATCCTTTTCTTGTTCGCCATCAGCGCCCTCAGGTGGAGGTCCACCTGCACTACCATACAGCTTGCTAATAATGGGCTGAACCACCTCCTCCAGCTCTTTCTTCTTGGCCTGGAAGTCTTCCAGATCAGCATCTTGATGAGACTCCATCCACTCGATCTTCTCCTCTACTGCCTTCTCAATGGCCTCTTTGTCTTCGTCGGACAGTTTGCCACCGAGCTTCTCCTTGTCGCCGATCTGGTTCTTCAGAGAGTAGGCGTAGCTCTCCAGCTCGTTGCGAGCGTCAATTCTCTCCTTCAGCTTTTTGTCTTCGTCGGCGAAGCGCTCGGCGTCGTTCACCATGCGCTCGATGTCCTCAGGCGTCAGACGGTTCTGGTCGTTTGTGATGGTGATCTTGTTCTTGTTGCCAGTGCCCTTGTCCTCGGCGGTGACGCGCAAAATACCGTTTACGTCAATCTCGAAGGTGACTTCAATCTGTGGAACACCACGAGGGGCAGGGGGGATCCCAGTCAGGTCGAAGGTGCCCAGCAGATGGTTGTCCTTAGTCAGAGGACGCTCACCTACAATAAGAGTTGATAGTTAGACTTGTACACTCTTAAATTGACACAGGGAAAATAAAAATTGCTTTTCCCCATGGGTGGCAACTTTACAGAGTTCTGTCCAATTCTTACCTTCATAAACTTTAATGGTAACAGTTGGCTGGTTATCTGAGGCTGTAGAGAAGATCTGAGATTTCTTTGTTGGCACCACAGTGTTCCTGGGAATCAGTTTGGTCATTACTCCTCCAACGGTTTCGATACCAAGAGTCAGTGGGCAAACATCCAACAGAACCACATCTCCTGGAAGATAGATACACAACACAGTCATTAATACACCACTTTCAAGCTCAAGTGTAACCAATACAGCAATAGTGTGAGGACTTACCCGTGTCTTCCTCTCCAGAAAGCACTCCAGCCTGCACAGCAGCCCCGTAAGCCACAGCCTCATCAGGGTTGATGCCCCTGGAGGGTTCTTTGCCGTTGAAGAACTCCTTCACCAGTTGCTGGATTTTAGGAATACGAGTGGAGCCTCCAACCAGAACGATCTCATCAATGTCAGACTTCTTCAGGTCGGCATCTTCCAGCACCTTCTGTACAGGCTTCATGGTGTTACGGAACAGATCCTGGATTAAAAAAAAAGGAGAAAAAAATAAAAGTGAATCAAGATGTTTGCAAAACCGTTTAAAATAAGGTTATTATAACAATACAGCACTTGATCAACTACAGCTGATATTTACCATGTTCAGCTCTTCAAACTTGGCACGGGTCAGGGTCTCAGAGAAGTCTTCTCCCTCAAAGAAAGACTCAATCTCAATACGAGCCTGGTGCTGGGCAGACAGAGCCCTCTTGGCCTTCTCCACTTCACGACGCAGCTTCTGCACGGCACGATTGTCCTTGCGCACATCTTTACCGGTCTTCTTTTTGTACAGCTTGATGAAATGATCCATGACACGCTGGTCGAAGTCTTCGCCTCCCAGATGGGTGTCGCCATTGGTGGCCACCACTTCAAACACGCCATTGTCAATGGTCAAGAGGGAAACGTCGAAGGTGCCACCACCCAAATCGAACACAAGGATATTCTTCTCGCCGTCCCTCTTGTCCAGGCCGTAAGCAATGGCAGCAGCAGTTCTAAAATTAAACACACACAAATGAGAATGAATTTAAAAATAAAATAAAATAAAAAATAAATAAAAAAAGAATTATTTCACATGCACAAGCTTGATAATTTAAATACTTACGGCTCATTGATGATTCTCATGACGTTCAAGCCAGCAATGGTTCCAGCATCCTTAGTGGCCTGGCGCTGAGCGTCGTTAAAGTAGGCAGGAACGGTGACCACAGCATTTGTAATCTAGAAAGAAACATGGAAGTTTTGAGTATCACATTTGTAACAAATATATTCTTTGATATGCATTCCATTTGTAGGGTTTTATACCTTCTTGCCCAGGTAAGCCTCAGCAGTCTCCTTCATCTTGGTCAGGACCATAGCAGAGATCTCTTCGGGGGCAAAGGTTTTCATCTGGCCACCGCCAATATCAACCTGGATATGGGGCTTGCTTTTCTTCTCAAGAACCTGAAAGGAGATTTGAAAAGAAAATATTAAAACATGATGAAAAATATATATATATATATATATACCATTTTGACAATGTTACAACTGAAGAGTAGAAAGTTACCTTGAAGGGCAGATACTTTATGTCCTGCTGAACAGAGGAGTCACTCCAGGTTCGGCCAATCAGCCTTTTGGCATCAAAGACTGTGTTCTCGGGGTTCGAGGTCAACTGATTCTTAGCAGCATCACCAATCAGACGCTCACCCTCACTGGTGAAAGCCACATATGAAGGAGTGATGCGGTTCCCCTGGTCATTGGCGATGATCTCCACACGACCATTCTTGAAGACTCCAACGCTAAAAAGGAACCAGATCAGATCAATTAAAATACATTTTTTTAATAGTGTGTCATCTCAAAGACAATTGTCCTTCAAATTAGAAAAACTGCAGTTACTTTATTCCTTACCATGAGTAGGTGGTCCCCAAGTCAATTCCTATCACAGTCCCCACGCTCTCCTTCTTGTCCTCATCTTCGGCATACACCATGCCGACTACAAGCATGACTACCCACAACAGCTTCATTTTTGCTTTCTTTATTTCTTCCAAATAAAAGAAAACCTACAAAAAATAAAATAAAAAAAGTGAAAATTAGCCGAATGTATGCAGCTTTAATAGGTCATGTAGGTCGACTCATAGTAGGCAGGAAACGTGGCCACCATCAGAAAGTGTACTAAAACTTGAACATTTAACTAGCGATTCCATCATCCCGAGGAAATATCTTGTTCCGTTTTTAATGATTTTGTTATCTATTAAGCTAACAATACTGGAAAACACCATTTTCTGAAAAAAGTGCTAAAATGTAACTTCCGCTAGCATGTTATATCTACTTCATAACGAATGATTCTTCTATACAATTCCAGCACATGCATTAATTATTTTATAACAGCTGAAACGTGAATTAAATTGTTAGCTTAATTCAACGTGCTAAGCTTACAACTTAGGTTATAAAAACAATGTAATGCTGCTAGCATATACATTTGCATTCAGTATACATACCTTAGTGAAGTATTTCCGGTGAATGAATAGCCTTTACGATGTGTCAAAAAGAACAGTTTCTCCTAAGCAGTTGTGCTTTTTCTACTATCTTCTCTTTATTCTTGCCCGTGTGCAATGAAGTTAACTGAGTCGCCCTATCCCCATATATAAGCCGTGATGGCTTCCCAGTCGTGGAGGCATCCGATTGGCTGAGAAGCTGCTTGTTGGAACGCTCTGATTGGTTGCCTGCAGTACGCTGGCCGCTGCTGATTTGTACACATCAGTTTGAAACGACGTCATTATCTTGGGTCTACGGTGCCGGATGCTGATTGGCTGCCTGTCAATGAGTCCCAGGAATGCTGTTGGTGCAACGACACGTCACTCTAAAGAGCAAAGATTGGCTTTTTTTTTTCATTATCACAGATTGAAGTTTTTGATGTATATTTTTTAATTCTCTCTTACCATTACCAAAATTATAACACATCTGTCAATCTGTCACTGTATTATGTTGAATGTATGTAGATATTGTAAAAGTATTATGTATATTAATAACGGGTTGCTTAATGAGTAACAAATACCCAAACCCAGTTGTGACAAAACATCACAAATGTTACATCAGAATAAATAAATTGCCAGGACATTTCATCAGAGAATATACAGCTCCATTTCTGAATAAGTCAAAATGTGTGTTAAATGTACTCATTCCATTTAACAAGTGAAATATTTCAC